CCTTTACCCTTTCCAGCTATACTATAATGCTAATAGTTCCTTAACTACACAACACAGACTCTCACCTTAATGCCTTTTTACTAGCTCTTTACTCTGCTCTTTCCCCAGATATCCACTTCATCTCCTTCAGGTCTGTGTTGGAATGAGAACTATGCTAAATATCTTATTTAAAATTACCTTCATCCTCACACCAGCACTCTTGATTCGCCATACTCTGTTGATTTCTCATCTTCTTACATCTTTTAACTTTAGCTGTTGGTTGTGTTTATTGTCTACAATTTGTCTCCACATACTAGATGTAAGCTCCAGGATGTCAAGGACTTTTTTTTTTTCCACTGCTGTATCTCTGGGTCCTAGAGCAGTAATCTCATCGGCAAAGAGTAAAGACTCAGTAAATATTTGTTAGATGAATAAATTAGTTAAAAATATGTAAGTGAGAAGGACAAGCATTCTGGAATATAATCTCCTTTTAAACACATTAACAGTGAAAAGAGTATTGTTATACATAATTAATTAAGGAAAAATCAGTATTTACGTTCAACAAACAACCAAATAGAACCTAAATTTGTGGAAAAGGCTTTTGAATGAATTCTATATCATCTCAGATAATGACTACCAAACAGAGAATATAAAAGTAAAATACTTATGAAAATCAGGGAATAAAATACTGAAGGAGTAAAAAATTATGCAAGAGTCATCTATTAAGATTCCAATTTCCTGTACATTAAAAATTGGGTAAATGAGAAAAGTAGGTTAACAATTTCTCACCACTGAAGAAATGAAAATCGATTCTGTATTCCTCTCAGAAGAGCTATGCAAATAATAGTCAAAGTGCTGGAGAAATACAAAGCTACACAACTCTAGGGTATCCATGAGCCAATCAATTTGTTTGTGGATTCTCTGGGTCCCTTGTTCCTCCTTCTCATGTTTACTGCCTAATATTTGACCACTCTTCTGTTTGTTGGCAACTCTCACAAGACAGCAAACTAGAGAAACAAAATGAAACATAAGCAAATTAAAGCTATTCCTGATAGTAGCCAAGAGAAATATGTTGGGATCTTGGTCTAGACAATAAGAAAATTATGCGTAGGATTTAAGAATATTCATTAAAATGGGTACTAGCATGTTTTCTGGAAATCAGTTACTATCATGGACTTGACCCAATTCAAATAAAGCGAGCATTAAATTAATCTAAAACAGAGTCAACTGGTAGAATAAAAAGAATTCATAATATATTTGAAAGGAAAAAAAAAGAAAGGGAGATCAAGAAGGTAGAGAGATATGAGCCTCTGCTATAGAAATCTCCAGAAGAGGTAATTTAACATAATGGAAATGCATCTAATATTAGCAAGAACTAGGGCCAAACCTAACCACCACTTACTAGCAATAGAAATTGGGTCAGAACACTTAACCTCAGAACCTACTTCCTTATTTATAAAATAGAGATAGTAATATCTTTTCTACATCCATATTCCAGTTTCTGTCACATGTTATCTGCCTATTTGGCCCAGTGTTGACAGTCACCCTATTTTAAGCACTCATCTTTCAATTTTGCAAGAATAAAACCCTGAAGAAATATCTAGAGAGTAATTAACATATGGCTAAAACTATCTTGGGAAATATAAAAAGATAGATTGAAAAGTGCAACTGAGACCTGAGACCTGTTTTAAATGAGAGGAAGCCTATTGATAAAAGTGTTTTTTTTTTCTTCAACTGCACAGGAAAATATTATAAAAGCTCTATTTAAAAACTATAGCCTGGGTGGTGCAGTCAGTTAAGCGTCAGACTCTTGGTTTAGGCTCAGGTTGTGATCTGAGGGTCGTGATCTCAGGGTCACGAGATAGAGCTCCACTTAGGGCTCCATTTTGGGCTCCCTGACAGGCTCCGCACTGGGCGTGGAGTATGTTTGAGATTCTCTCTCTCCCTCTCCCTCTGCTCCTCCCACTCATGTTCTCTCTCTCTCTCTCAAGTAAATAAATAAATATTTAAGAAAAAACTATAGCAAGGCATCTTTTGAGGAAGTAAAAGATTTTCTTCCTGTTATATAAAGTGGAGAAAATACTTTATTTTTTGTAAACTTACTTAAATGCAGTAAGTTCTATGGGAAGAAGGATCTTTGTTTCATTCATTACTAACTCCCTTGAAGAGTACATGATTAAGGCAATTAAGAAATAGTTTTGGATTAATACAGTATGCACAGACTATAGTGTACTTGGCACAGGGGTGGGGGTCCATCTGCCTTAGAAGGTGACCTTACACAGTTAAAAAAAAACAGATAAATAATAACAAATGAAAATATCTTTAACACCTATAAAATGCAACACACCTAATCCTATAGTTCCTGAACCATCATTTATAAATTTCTAGAATTCTGTTGGAGAATTTATAATCCATATGCAATATATATTGGTATATGTGTAGATATGAAGTGACTAATATTTTCTTGAACCAGAATAATATGATTTCTTGAAATGACCAAAAGAGACTCTCCGTGATAAAGAAGGAAAAAAAGTTAAGTTTGGGGGAAAAAAATTCTACTCCTCTGCTTAAAGTCAAGCTCTAAACTTTAGGTTTGTTTAGTTTAAAAAAGGTTATTATATAGAAAACTACATTTAAAATCTTTGTTATTTAGACTTTGGGGTAATATACAAACAGCTAATAATTGAACAAAACTTATTTAATAATGATAAGATCTATTAAATACCAACACAAAATAATTTTTTAAACTTAACGTAAAAACAAAAGCTTAACATAAAAACAATAAATTTGGACTCTAAACCACATAGACTGAAGTAAGTAACTATAGATTTTATCCTCAGGCTAATGAGAAATTAGTTCAAAGTTTGCCAAAGTAAATTGCACAGCCTTACACACCTCTTTGCCAACTCTCTCATACAGCCAAAGGAACCAACAATCCAAAGAACAAAAATAATAATTTTCTAATGAATCTATTCCCCCCTGAAGTTGTATGAGAGGAAAGGTCACTTTCTCACTTACTAGCTTACCTTTTCAGTATCCTTATCATTTTCTTGATTGTACATATTTTCATGTATTATGCTCTATTTATACATTCTTCAATAGCATCTTTATTTATGACTTTGTGAATCAACATCTTTGTGATAGGAGGTAAAAGTCACTTAGCTAATTACACATGCTTGATAAGCTGCATAATAATAACCACTGCAGTATTGTACATTAGTTGAAGGCATGTAAATTACTGCAGTCATTCTCATTTGGGGAAAAACAAGAGACTTTATTTTAGTTGTTTAAAACACTTTGTGCTCTCTCTATCCACCTTCTCAAGTATACTGTGCTTTTAACCCAAATCGTGGCATCAATAATACAATAAAGGTCAAATCCCATTCTACTAGTATGACCAAAGAAATAAAAACAAAAACAAAACAAAACAAAACTCAATTTAATGCAAATACTCTGATCGGCAGTTGAGAATTTTATTATATGAAGCTCTTCCATATAATGCAATCCTTGTAAAACAGAACAGTTTAGACACTCCTGCCCCACAAGGATGTTGTAATGAAATCTAACTTGGTCCAGCCAGCTTAGAAGTGTATAGAGAGATAGAATGTATAGCACTAGAATATTAATATGACTTCTGTATGAAGATTGGAAATTCTACAAACTTATGAGTAAGGTCAAAAGAACACTTAGATGATTTACTGCCCTAGAAAATCACACTCAACTATGAGTGATTTATTGGATGTTATATAAAAATGGAGTGTGGACAAGCTACATTCAGATGCAAGCTTGCAGCTGTCAGTGTCTACATTTACTCAATCTGGCTAGAGGATGATTTGAAGGTTGATTTAATTGTAGCTTCTGAATCATGTTCTTCCCTATGTTTTAAATTGTTTAACATAAATACAAAAATGTTAAAGTAATTTTAAGACTGTAAATATTTAGTATAAAAATCTGCAAAATCTCATTCTTTTCTGGAAGAGTAACTGAAAATATAGACTATCTTGGGGAAAAAATACCATTACTTAATAATGGTAATTGCCCAACAGTTATGGCAATTTTACCCTGATATGAGAAAGTTCATAGGCGTTCAGAAGTAGCTAAGAATAAATAAGCAAAAAACTAGGTTTGTGACTGAACTGATCACTTTTAAGAAGAACAGAAATCTGTATCTGGAGGACAGGGTTCGGAGAAAAAGTCAACCAGCTGGCAAGGCATCACTTGGGTTCCTTGAAGGCAATGTCATAACCTAAGTATCTTTTCCACTAAACACAAACTCAGAGCAGATTCAATTCCTATCGATGCTACCAGCACCAGAACACAAGGCACCACCAATGAGCTTTGTCAATATTACCTACTCAGCTCTCCTTGATCATCTTTCTATTCCTTGACACACTTCATTAAATTCCAGATATCACCTAACCATTTACTTCCCAGCACCAGCAAATCATCCTTAGGGAGAATATCTTCTTCCTCTGCAAGCTCTTTCCCCCATTTTTTATTTCCACTTTTATACATACCTCCTTTTCTACATATTTTCTTGCCGGGTTTTCTGGCACATTCCTTGGATATTCTTTTTACTGAAAAATGAATAGAAGACTAGAAAATAACATGGCGCTCCATCACAGACCGCCGGAACATGCAACACCACTATCTAACTTAATATGCTCCTGCATTTACTGAGTGCGAAAGATCCCCAATTCGTTGAGCCTGCACATGCAATGGAGACATGTTGATGCATCTTCTCAGAAGTCATTCGGTAGGAAATGGAAATTAGGAACCCATTTCTACCTAAATATACGTGCTGTGGAGGAAAGAAAATGAGTAGGCACAGGAAAAAAAATAAGAACAGATACACTAACACACATAAACAAAAAGAGCGGCATGCAAGCATGTAAAATATGTCTACATGCCAACAGGAAAAGCCATGCATGCTACCAGTACACATGAATTAATATTGTTAGAACTTAGAATAGAAAAGAAAATATAAATTTATCTCCCTGCTTTTCCTGCAGTGAACTCACCATCCTCAGTTGGAACATATATGTTTAAATATAGGCAATCTTCACTCTGGTCTTGTACGTATGATGAAACCACATCCAAGTTATTAGTAAACCATACAGGAAGCATGACTTCCGGCAATCTGCCATCAATGATATTCTGGGGACACACAGGAGCAAACTGAGTCGCATTCCTGATATCTGACCAGGGAGATGGTGGTTCTGGAGGCTGAAAACGATGTTCCCCTGTGGGTGGGGCTGCATACGGAACGCCAAGAAATTGAATAACAGGCCCCAAAATTTCATTATTGAGTTCTTTCTTAATCCCCCTTATCTTGCCGAAGTTGGTAGTCACCAGTGGGTCTGCATCATCCAATTTTTGTGAAAGCACATGGGCAGCCTGAAGTAAACATCCCAACACGCAGAGAGTCAATGAGGCACCCAATCCCCTGTGTACCAAGCATGCCATTATTGCTCTCCAAACATAATTTGGCCACATGCATCTGGGCAGTGCCATGGTCCCACATTAGTTGTGTAGTTGTCTGGTTACAGTGAAGCAAAGGTATTTGTATCCACTTGAGAAAGACCATATAATGGTAGAATACACCTCCACCTCCAACTTCTTCAAGGCGAGCTTGTCAAGAAAAGCTCAGAAAGCTCTTTATGCAGCCAGTATCTCCCAACGATTTCACATGGATTGAAGTAGCATCTTCAATCATCACTATTTATCAAACCATATCCTATTGACCATTCTGTTTTCCATAGTAGCAACATGACAAGAGTGGCCATTGACTGTAGATTTCTCTCTTATAAATCAAATCCAGTTAGCAGCAGTTCTGCATCCTAAAGAAAATGAAAATAAATCATTAGAACGAAGAAGCTAAAGTAGACAGAGCAATAACTAGATGTTTTACAAGCTACAGAAATACATAAACAGTAGCTAGAGTCAGGTAAGTTAAATACTACCATAGGAAAATTATGGCTTGATATGAGATGACAGGTAAAATAACTGATTATTAGATTATTGAGAAACTTGCCTGCTGACTTTATACATGTTTAAGTGGGAGCAGGCCTTGTCAAAATACACGGTTTCAGGAGCATTTCACAGTATATCATTTTTTAAAATACTGAAGTATATACGTGAAATTGCCCCTTTATTGATAGTCTTCAATCACATCAAGGAACCAGAGAATTAATCAGCACACATAATAAAAATTAGAATTACATAGCAGAAAACCTTTTGAAAATCATTGGTAGGGAATTAGTGGAATATAAACAGTCAGAGTGGAAATATATATATATATGTATAAATATATATATACACATATATATTTATATTTTTAAAAAACAAACCAACAAAAAGGTAGTCCCCAATCCTATGCTATATAGAAGAAAAAAAGCTAATGGTAGAACAAGAAAACTAATTCTTATTCAACTGTGATCATTTAAGTGCAACTGCCTTATAAGTTCAAACTTCTTGCTGTTTCTCAAAAGTTTGTATCAAGTCATTGGGTATAGGTCCCTCACCTTCAATTAAGATTCAAGACTTTAAAAGATAAAATGGCTTTAGACAAAATTTGAAAAAGAAACAGAAAGTGGCATCATATTTTGCAGACTAAAGGTTTTTTTTTTCACCATCCAGCTACAACATTTTAGAAATCAGTAAATTTGCAACATGAAAATTAATTTCTGCATCAAAGACAACATATTTTAAGTTACAAATTTCGTTTTCACTACCTGCTAGAGATCAAAGGAACGATAAAAAATAGAGTTCAGTAGTTTTACAAAATAATTATACCTAATCACAGCATCTTGCATATTAACACTACTAGAACATCTAACACTGTTTATCCAGTTCAACTTAAAACACATCAGGATAAAATGTAACACTCAGTGCAATGCAATTCACGGTGTAATCTTACTTGAATTCCAAGATAGTGTACAACGCGGCAAATTCATCTTTTCTTGCTCAAGCAACCTTTCAAAGTGCTTACTTTGAAAATAATAGTGTTGATTTGTATTACAGGTGGTTCTATCCTGTCATAGTAGGAGAAGATTCCTGAAGAAGTGCTGGTCTGGCAGTGGGACTGCCCTGGCTTTGTGTTATTGAAAAGGAGATTGTACAAACTACATAGGGCAGCTGGAGATTTGGTTCAGGCCTGGTGTTCCCTTAGCTATGAACAATCCATCACAGGAGGCAATAAGGAGATAAATGTCTTTCTTCAAGAATACTTCCCTCTGGGTTAATTCATAAACCTTTGCTGTGAAAGCTCATTAACATACAAAAGACAGGCTTAGACCCATCCCATTCCTGTCTTGGAACTCCAGCAAGTATTGAATATTCAGCTACACAAACCCATTTCTGTTAAGAGTAGACTACGCTTATTCTTAGGCAGAATCGCGGTTGGCCACAGCATGACTGAGTCTTTTCCAGTCGCATTTTGGAGTTAAAAAGCACCATGTTGACACCCCAAATAGAGCACCTGTGTTGGCACTTTAAAAGTCTGCATCACCATTTTTCATTCAACCCAATTTCCATATACAGTGATTTCCAAAGTTTCCCTCTTTATACACTTTGTATCTTATTAATAATAAAAAATACTTGTTTCATTATTAACAAAATAATACTCATTTTTGTACTCACAAATCCTTAATCATGTTAAGAGAAAGGGACTCCTGTTTCCCACCGATGTGATACTTTGAAACAAGTTGTGAAGGATTAGAATTCTGCATGCCAGGGTGAATTTTCAAATTCTAATAACATCTCACTTCTGAGCTTATGAAAACATCCCAGTTTACATGGGCTTACCTGTATGGAGAATTATAGTATTGACCTCAAAGATTTCTCAGAAGTTTTTGTTATAAAAATAACAATTGTCCACGTCTAATGTAAAAATATGGCTTGCTTAAATTAATGAAATTTTAAATATATATGTAAATAAGTCTTCATATATATATAAGTCTATATATAAGTCTTCATATATATATATATGTCTAACTATAAAGTCTCTCAAATTTGTTGGCAGGCTTTTTTTTTTCCTATTTATTGGTGCTTTCTTGCTGTATGCCAACCCTTAGCTTTTATGCATTTACATCTCATTTACAATAACCCTATAACTGGGTTCAACAGTTATCCCCTTTTTTACTCAGAGGAACTGAGACTTAAAGAGGTTAAGCACCCTGCCCAAGGTCTCTCAGCCAATCGATAGCAGATCCAGGATCCCACTGGCATCTGATTTAAAAGCTGTCCTCTTGATCACTGCACCTGATAACAGTCTCTCACTTCACAATTAAAACTTTTTAAAAAATTGAACCTAGTGTACTTAAAATTGAATTGTAAAAGTGTTTTATGTTTCTTCAGAAGGATAGAGTCTAAGTAAATACTCTGACAATGGCATAGAAACAGAAATTTAAATGGATTACCCTGTTTTTACTGGAAGTTTAGATTTTATTTTGTTACTTTTTTTTACTTTACATTTTGACCTTTTTATTTTACATCAAATACAGTGATTGGTTGTCCATATGTGTTTACACAAGATTATACTAAAATAATAATGGATAACAAAAAATTCCAACTTCATAATAGCCTAAATGTCCATTAATAGATATTGATAAATGAATTATGATATATTCACAAATTAGAATTCTATACATCAGTGGAAATAAAGGACCCAGACCTAAATATGTCAACTTAGATAAATCTCAAAAGTTTTTTTTTTCCACAATAGCCAAACTGTGGAAAATCTCAAAAGTTTTAAACAAAGCAAGTTGCAGATCAGAGACAGTAAGATGTTATTTAGATAAAGCATAAAATAAACAAAATGAAGCTATATATTATTCACAGATCTCATAAATATGAGTAACAGAATATTTTTCATCCCTGGGTAAGGAGGACAGTGTATGAAATTACTCTAGCAGTTAATTAGTTAATGTTATTAATTAATTAATTGGTAGTTAATTGGCACTAAGATTGATAACCTGTGGTGAGGTCTTAAAAGACCACAATTAATTAACTACAGCAAGTTTTATAAATCTAAGATTTGACAGTGTTACATCACACACACACACACACACACACACACACACACACCTACAGTTTTGTTATGCAATTCTCTGTATTTTTCCATGTGTTTGAAATATTTTATAATAAATACATTAAAATAACATGATCAGAAAACCTTATTCAGCAGGTCAAACAAGTAGATGAGCCTATCAAATCATATAGGACTAGCTCCATCAAAGATTGCAGTTAGTACAGATGCTAGTTCAAAAAATTTCTCCCTTTGAGTTGAAGCATGTGTGGTCCCAGTGAGAAAAATAAAATACAAAATAAATAATATTTTAAAAGGCATATAGATAGTAGTATATTATTTCACTTGCATTAATTCATCATAATAGCTGGAACTAGTTTGTTCCTGAGTAACCCAGATCAAAGAGATGATGCTGGAGAGAGTAGAGAGAACTTTCTAGAACATTAGATAATCATAGTAGGTGGCACATTCATCCAATCTTCTAGTCACTCAGCAAACATTTATTGTGTATCTACAATATATAAGCTATTGTGCTAAATATTATGAGAGTACAATTGAGAGTTTTTGCTCCTAAGTAGTTATGATATTTTAAAGGAATAAGTCACATTAAAAAAAAAGTCTCTAATGCAGGTTGGAATGTGATATGTGTTCAAAAATACATGATGAATGGGGAGGTGGGAACCAACAAAAAGTTTCTGATTTATAATTTTACATAGTAAATTCATGTCTTTTTAAAAAATACTACCTATTTATTTTCTACCTTGCTTTGTTTTGTTTGTTTTTGTTTTATTGTTGAACCCAGCTCTCCCCCACCCACCCCCAGCCATTGAATTTCTTATTCAAGGGCAAGGATTTTGTGTTTGTTGTTTTTTAAATACTTCATACCCATCATAAAATCTATTTGACAATCCTTATATAGTGCAGGCAAACCTCAGCGGATACGGACTTATCACCAGCGTGGTGTGGAGCTTGTCCAGTGCTATACAATTGATTGTTGTTATTTACCATAGTTACGTTCTATAAAGTCACTGCAAACACCAAATTAAGGAACATGGATCCATTGCTCCTAGAGAAATAGCTATAAATTATTCACACAGTTATAAATTATAATCTCAATTACAAATTAGTTATAAATTATTCACATAGTTGTAAATTATAATCTTAAACCCTAAAAACAATTCATCCCAGTAGACTCTATTTTCTTTATTTTACAAAAGAGAAAACAAGGTTCAAAAGTATTAAGTGACTTGTCTGAGGCTACCCCACTAACAAATGCCAGAGTAGGGATTCAAAACCCCTCCAACTGGTCCAGAGCTGGAGCTTCTTGCACTACACAGCACTCCCTCTACCATTTCTGTCCTCTGTTCATCTCTATATGAGAGCTGAAACAAGGAGGCAGAATATCTCCCTGCATGGCCTCAGCTGGAAACATGCTCGTAGGGCATCCCAAAGTTTTCGTTGTTCTGCCCATATCTGTGAATGACTGCAAAAGCACTATGAGTACTGACTTTGGGGTTAAAAAAAAAAATTTTAGTGAATAGACAAATTTGTAAAAATACAGATCTAGGAATAATGAAGATTGGCAGTATTAACTAATAGTAAATAATATTTTATACCTATGGATCTATGAGTCATTTTGAGGTCAGAATATATCAGCCTGCCACCAGCACTTAGTAATAATCATTGGTTTTAAGAACTGGATTTGCTAATAATAATTTAATAATTATTGCACTTAATAATAACTGGTTTCAGTGGAGTGCAGTCTTCTCAATGGCCAAGGCCACCCATATAACTGGAATGTGCTTACAGCTC